ACCCAAAGGCAATTTTGGCTTATTTAAAGTTTATAACCTAACATATGTGACTTGTTGCTACAGTAAAGGCAACAAGTCATGTAACATACTTATTTTGCTGTTACCGTTCAGCTCAAGCAAATCAGTGAATGCGAAGAGAAAAGGAAGTGAGCAGAGCAGCAAATTACTTCATCAAGAAGGTACGCACGAAAGGATCATCTCATTTTTCAACTTCATCTCATCTGATCACTCACATACACAGATATTTCTTGTTTTACCTGTTTTACAAAACCGTCTGAGCAAGAGCGGACAAACCCACATCCATAGGGTATTCCGGTATTCTTTTTTAGGCAGATGACCGCCACCTGCTGTTATACGAAGTTATTACCTCTCTCGCGCAGGCGCAGAATGTATGTGTTAGTAGTAGTTTGCTTTAGTCTGTGCGGTGCCAAGACACAGGCGATGTGAGGCGACGCAGCAATTGGCTTTAGTCTTTTTATGTCGGTTTGGTGTGTCGGAACACATCAGAACTGCAATGTCTCACAGCTTAACCAAATGTTTTAAAGACGTCTCATACTGACGCTTAAGGTGACAAAGCAGCCACATTGAGAACAATACATATGGACTTTTCTCTGGCACCACCCTCAGGACAAACTTTACAAGTCTTCTCAATTTTGTATTCCTATTATTAAATAGGCATTCAACTAAAATAAAAGTGTGGCTGGTGGTTCAGAGTGCAGTCTATTGTAAAGGTGTGAGAGGGTCACACCTTCAACAAAGAGCCATCCAGAACAATATTGGCCTCATCTGTTCTCCACCACTCATTCCAAACATTTACTTAAGTGAATTTTCAGCACAAAAAAAAAGAACCAACAATAGTTACTTAAATTTATCGTCTTGTTTTAAGCCTAAAACCTGCCGGCTGCAGCCTTCTGAGTGCCCTTTGGAATTAAAGAGCTGACTAAGACTTAATGCAGCACAAAAAAAACCCCAGAATCATCTCATCCTTTTCTGCTCTCCTCTTTCATCACAACCAATTACTTAGCTGGACCCAAGTTTGAGCAATAGGGCCGCCTGAAGGCCGACAGCAACCGAATCTGCTTGAAGAACCGCCATCAGGGGGGACTCGAACTCTGTATTGAAACCCACTGATGAGATTAGCTCTGATTCAGTTGTCAGGGATTTCTGCAACAGGCGCTTTTAATTACAGATCTAATTTATGGTTCAAATGAAAGTCCAGAGTGAAAGAATGAAGACTTTTATGCAGAGAATACAATGTTACAGCAGCCAGTTGCAGCCATCAGAGAAACCTCCAGTCGCAGCTGAAGATATTTAGCAAAACTGAAGTTATGAGTCCCACAAACACAACGGTTCCCAAGCTTTCATATTCTGACTTTTTTTCATTCATTTATAAATTTCTTTTGCTACATTTATGATTACTTTTTGCCATTTTAACAATTTATCCATTACTTTTAGCTAACTATTAAGACTTCTCTGCTCACTTACTCACTAGGTAGTCTTCATTCACTCAATACCTGCTGTTCAGGTGTTACAGCAGAATCAATAAGTTGACATTTTTTAAAACTAATTTCAATTTTTAAAATCTCTTCATTTAATATTAATAGTTCATCAGCGGCTCTGATTCAGTTGTAACGTTTTGTCTGATACAGGCGTGACAGTGCAGAACCAGCAGGGGGCGGAGAGCAAAAGACAAATGTAGGTCACAGTGGATGGATGGGTGAGACAAGACTTTCACACAGGAGACCAGGGTTTGGTCAATCAATCATTATTGATCATTTTAAGGAAGTCATTATTTTAACACAAACCGAGTAGTTTTGGTGCTTAAACCATTAATTATTGTGCTTAACGTGAAAACTACACAGTGGACCGATGTTTGTGATTTCTTGTTACTAATCACCCCAAATACACATAGATCAACAATATATCTGTTTTTAGGTTATTATGGTTACAATATTATATTGATTATTATATATTGATGCAGTGATAGAGAGACATCATCTTATCAGCCTATGCTAAAAGAAAGTTTGGAAAATCTCTTAATGGGACCTTTTTTTGGACTCATTCAAATCATTTTCCCTTTAAGCCATTATTGATTGAGATTCCACCTGCAGCTTTTCCCGCTTCAACAAATCAAAATGTCTGCCAAGCCCTGTGACCCAGACCCTTAAGGGCCCCAAAGGCCCCATACTGATTGTGTGTCCGTCTTCTGTGATCAATTACACATGTTTTTAAGAATGTGAATCAAATGATCAGCTCTGTCTGTCAAGCGTTACACGGAGAATATTGCCAAATATTTGTGTTTAAATATATTACAAACACATTCATTCTTTACCTGCTGCCATGTACCAAACACTAAACTAAAATATATTGGACTGAAATATTAAATAAAGTGGAACTGTTGATAATCCCAGAGACATATGTGGTTATTTATTTTAGTACTGTTTTAGTCAGAATTGCAAGGCTGTTAAAGTTATATGAAAAACTGTCACTTACATAAACTAAAGCTCCAAAAACCACAGAATAAATTCTTTTTTACTGTCTGTCTTTGATGTTCTGATCCTATATCCTATATTTTCTGTATCTTTGTTTCACATTCGCTTTTTGTCAATATCACATAAAACTATAAAAGTGCTTAAAATATTAAAGACATCTAAATAATAAGTAGTTGCAGCCCTGTCCCTACATCCTCCATGTGCTCCATGTTACAGTTTAAAGACAAACTTAAAAGGCTGCAGCCTCTGATCTGAGCCCAGTGAACAATCTCCTGCTCCTCACATCAGTGCAGCTAATGCATGTGTGACCTCTCAAACACAGGAACATAAAACAGTGCACCGACTCCAACCAACAGCTCTCCAATTAGCGCTGAACCCCCCCCCCAAGAGAGCCGCTCAACAGCCCCGGTGGCACGAACACCGCGACAGACAGAAACACATTTCTGAAACAGTCTTCTTGACCTCATCTCCCCCCACCCTCCAACCTTCCAACCCTCCCTGCCACCACGTCCACAGACCCGACTCTCATTCTGGCCAATTGCTCCGCTCACTTTTCTGGGAAGACAAAAGGAAAGAAATCAATGTAATCAAGAGGAGAGAGCGCGTATTTCTCCGGCCGATGCAAAGTCCGGCGCGGTTGATAGCGCAGATGGAGAGAGGAGAAACATGAGCAAACATCCAGCTGATGAATACTGACATTAAGATGATGAATAACTGAGCAGCTATTCATTATTCACCCCAGTAGATCTCTCATTTTACTTCACAACACTTTGTTCCAATAAACACAACGCAGCTGTGTTACATAATGATGGAGCACACATCAACGCAGGTTATTCATTTCAACTGCGACTCCTTCCTCGGATACACAATAACTGGGCCTAATAACAATAATAACAATAATAATATGAGGAGGAGACGGAGCTGAGGGTTCATTAAGGAGCAGATGGATGCAGCTGTATTGGCTGAGCGGCTGTCCATCCTCATCAACACAGAAACCGGCGAGTTAATGACCGAAATAAAACTTTTAATCTTCAATTAAAAACTCGGTGTTTGTTCAGCAGCGCCGCTATTTCGGTCTCACATCATTCTTGGAGATCATTTGCATAATTTAATGTGGGAAAGTCAAACGCACAGTAATGGAGTGGGAATAAAACGGTGCGTAAACTGTGACTCTCAGTGAGCATCAGTGAGCAAACCAGCGCCGATAGGAGCACAAAGTCAACTATATTTCACTAAAAGCTGCAATAAGCGCTTCTTCCAGTGGAACACTCCCTCCTACATATAACGTACATACTTATTATAATTATGCATTGCGCCATGAACACTCCTAGCCTTAGAGAGGGGGTGAACTCCATCCCTGCGATATAAATGCGGGTATAAAGTGAGATTATTATCCTCCACCAACCCTCCGTGGTTGCACTGAGACAGAACCACTGTATTCCAGCCGGGTCCGGGTCCGAGCCTCCTGGTGAAACCGAACCCCCCCAAAAACAAGCGAGCCTCGCTCCGACGCGCGGACTCACCACTTGAACGCCGGACGATGTTCTCCAGAAAAGTGTTCTGCGGTGCCACAAGCCCTCTCTTTCCCCCGGGCATCCTGCTGCGGGCGGGCGGAGCTGGTGTCGGTCAGGGTCTGTGGCGGTGTGTCTGCTGCTCGGAGGTCGGTACTGACGCTGGCTCTCAGTCGGACCGATGGAGAAGCTCATTGTAACCGTGCGCTCTGGCTGCTCGGGGCGCACTGAGCCACGGTGGCGGCGCTGCATCCCGCTGCCCGACCGGAGCGCCAGGACGCATGCGTGCCCGTTGCTGTGGGCTCGGTCCTCAAAATTATGACGATGATGTTTGTGTTTACTGTTTGTGTTTACTGTTTGTAATGAATCACATGTAATGTAAGTCAAAGTGTTTAATAAATGGACATTAATCGATCTGTATCTTTAAATATAACCCAATATATAATCAGTTTGATTTTGAGTTTTGATTTGATTAGTATTTAGATTTATTATAACTGATCAATGTAATATTGATTCTAATTTCATGCTACCACTTTCTTAATAATGTTAAAATAAGAATACATTAAGTCTCCCTTCATAAAGGGTTTATACATTTTATTAGACTTTATTAATGTTAACAAATGCTTTATAATGTTATAATACATTCATGATTTGAACATTTGGGTTGCCAGGTTATGAAAAATCCCTTACAGATGAGAGAACATGAATAAATATCTCACTTTCTGATGAGTAATGTTCATAATTGGAGAATAAAGGGTAATAAAAGAATACAGTTTATTATTGCAGTAATTAATAAAAGGTTCCTACAACAATCTATTACATCTGTAGTTGTAAACATTAATAATGAATAGCTCAGCTGAAGAGGCGGTGCAACTCAGAACAATGTGAAAATGTAGAAAAATAGTCAATTTGAATATTTGTGCTTTAAAGGAAGTTGTGTGTCAGAGCTTTCCTGGCGAAGTCGGGTTATGGGGTTGCCAGGCAACCATCAGAGATTGCCTGAAATTGTCATGTTTACATCTTCGTTTGAACTGATTAAAACAAACTAACATGTTCATTTGGGAGCTTTAAAAAGGTTTTTGAACTTTACCAGAGCTATGCTAGCTGTTTCCCCCTGCCCCTGCTTCCAGTCTTTGTGCTAAGCTAGGCTAACCACAGCCTGACTCCAGCTTAATGCTCGGACATAACGTGACATCAATATTTCCATGTAGCTTTTGGAAACAAAGTAAACAAATAAATAAAAGAATATCAAACTATTCTTTTACGAAATAAACCATCATCTGTCAGAGAAATCGATAAACCATAAATTAAGATTCAGTGAAGTGACTAATGACAAACAATGTGCGTCGTTTTGCCATGAAACAGTTTAAACAGTGTCTCCCTCTGCAGGCGTCCCTCAGGAATGCTAATTAGCTTTTGTGCATGATTGATGGGGCCCCTGGGAGCCAAAGGCCCCCGACCGGAGCTACAGTCGGCGCAGGGCGTCAGGATTGTGCCGGCTGTCGGCGCCACGTTTTTTATTCACTGTATACCCGACCTTAAAGCTGCACTAAGGCCACTCAGTTATCGACTGGAAGATTATAAAAGGAGCAGCACAGTTATTTATAGATTTAAATAGTCTCACTTGCATTTAAATTGGTAGGACTTTTATTACAGCCTGTAATGACTGGAGCACATTGAAGCACCTTAAATGTCTGAATGATAATGTTACATAAGCAGGTAGAAGTTGAATTTCTATAACTTGAAACAGTTACCAACATTTCTGGCTTTTGATTCTGAACCCTCATTACTGATCATTAGTATGGACAGAAGTTGTGAGCTGTAATTTCCCCTGTATGGTTCAGCTTGACGCGACTTGCTTGTCTGTACCTGGTTCTTTTTTTGGCATCACCTTGGTTGTAGAGTGTAGATGAGTTTCTAAACTCTTCGCTCAATACAGACTGAGGACTTACTCCCAGCTTTTGTTGCTAAAACTGAAATAAAACAAAAAAAACAATTTCAGAACCAATCCAAAGTCTTTATGGTGGTGACATGTGGAAATCGTGTTCTTGTAAAAGTCAGGCTCGTTCGAGATTAACTGCGTGTTGCCTGGAAAGTGGACGAGATCAGGCGGCACCAACAGGAGTCAACCTTCAAGGAATATACAGGAAGTCACAGAAATATGTACATCCTTTAGGCTGCCTGTGGTTTTTAAACCACGTTCAAGATCTGGGTGTTCCAGTTGGTGGAGAGCAACTCGACATAAATCTAACCGGCGCGCGTTGTGTGGAGGATCACCAGTTATCAATTCATTTGTGTGTTTTAAAAATCTCGAAGTGATTCAGTATATCTCCAGTTTGTTTCACTACAGAAGAGAATGGAGGGAGAGAGTCACTGCAGGTAAGGCGTGTTCTTAATATAAGGGACGTACGTTTGTTAGCGGCTGGTCAAGCAACTACTTTGCATTTAGACGACGACCCAGACGATCGGTAGGCGCTGAGATCTTAGATTTTCTGGTATCACAGGGTTCTCAATCAAGCCGATACTGAAAGGTGGAGTGAAA